GATATTTGCTTTATTACGGTGGTCTGGAACTGAACCCACAATATCTCCGAGGTATGCCTGTACACTACTTTCCCCGTGTCAAAATTCATCTTGGGCCTTAATTTAAGACAGAATCTGGGCGTGTCTCCATGAGATGATTAATGCCCATTGCACTAATTGTACTGTGCATTAGCATGGCTGGCAAAAACTGCGCTAATGCACAGTATATTAGTCCAATAAGCATTAAGTGTCACAAAAAAATTAGTTTGTGCTAATGTACAGTGGTGCTGATTACAGCACATTGTTAGTACCTGTTATTGCAGCACATAATTATGGCACATGAATGAACATAGACCCCCCCTCTGGACGCCAACTTTAGACCTAGGACACTTATAGGGTGAAAAACTCCAAGCCATTGAAATATGGTTACAGCAAGAGACTGACCCTTCTTTAGGTACAGCAGTACTGCAGGCCCTCCTGCAAAGAAATACCATGCTTCTGCTTTTGCAGAAGTTCTCAAGGGGAGAAAGGCCATGAAATCTTGACAGAGGAATTTACATATGATGCTGAGAAAGGCAAGTAACTTTCACTTTCTTACAGTTCCTGCCTCAGAGATGGTTTGCTAGAAGTGGGTGTTTAATCAAAACTGAGGCTGTGTGCTGACGGAAGTTTAACCGAACTGTACTTTGGCTAGAGAAGGGTTTGCTGGTGACATGACTTTTGTTTTTGCAGCCTGCCTTCAGTGATAGAGCTTCCAGAGCTGATCTTTAGTCTAACAAATCCTCATCCTGTTGCAACTGAATTTTCATCCTGCGCACCGCTGTCACCCAACACAAGCTCTCCAGCACATGCTTGCTGACCCTGTAAAATGCTTTGTGAAGTATCAAATATTTGTATGCCACTTTATAAAGAGCAGGGGCAGGCTCCCCACAGGGGCCACAGGCAGGCTGTTTTTCAGACTTAAAGATAACCAACCCTTCAGTTAAGGAAACTTAAGGCCCTGCTACACGTTCAAATTAAAGCTGGATAGGAACCACCTCTAGTCCTTACACATCATCAAGCACTTATAGCAGGTTGACTCTTTTTATAGCCAGACAGTCATTCTTACTGTGGGATAACTACTTGGCAGGTGTGGCCGGTCTAAACTTATTGCACAATTCACCTGTCAACTGCGTGACGCGTGTAACATGCAGCAGGGGCTGGAGTCGCTCCACCTGCAGAGCCCGCAGGGGCAGGCAGCTCCCAAAAGGCAATGCCTTCAGCTCCTGGAGAAGCAAGCTGGACAACAGCTGGCCTCAAGCAGGTGTCCCAAGTCCATGCATTGGGGGTATAAGGGGGGGGGCACGTGCACCCTGATTCAGGCGACGGACAGGCGGGGCAGGCAGCAGTGCCAGTGCCCGTGCCCTGCCGCGAGCATCGGCCAGGGAGCAGGAGCGCCACGGGCACTCCCCGGTCAGCGAGACCGGGTCCCCATCTCTGACTGAGCCATGTGCCCCCCTGCCTAAGGTGGCACAAATTGCCCGTGCCCAAGTCGGTGGTTCTCACCCTCTTTTATACCAGGACCCACTGGTAAAAAACATGGACCTCGCGCCCCCAGTGTGCGGGACAGGGGCGGTTTCCCACGTTTTCCAACTGGAGGAGAGCATCCTTTTCTCAGGCGAGTTTCCTATCCTCCCCAGGGCCGCCGGTCGCCGGCTGGGAGCCCGGGGCTGGCCGGCGGGAGGAGGCGGCGGGCCGCACCTGCGTGACGATGGTGCGCTGGTAGACGTCCCGGCTGTACTCCCAGCCGTCCAGGCAGCGCTCCTGCGGCAGGCGGGACAGGTCCACGTCGGTGCCGGGCCGCAGCCCCCGCGCCGAGAAGTTGGCCAGCTCGGCCAGGCGGTAGCGGCGGCAGCGGCTGGGCACGTCGCGGCCGCCCCGCAGCTCGCGGGGGA